CCTAGGGAGGTGGTGGAGTCTCCTTCCTTGGAGGTTTTTAAGGCCCGGCTTGACAAAGCCCTGGCTGGGATGATTTAGCTGGGAATTGGTCCTGCTTTGAGCAGGGGGTTGGACTAGATGACCTCTTGAGGTCCCTTCCAACTCTGATATTCTATGATTCTATGATCCACATACTTTATGAAAATTCCTTAATTCTCCATGTCTCATTATCAAGCACTATAAGTGACAAATATAGCCGAAGTACAGAAATCTCCCTACAGATTCTTGAAAGTGTTTCAGAAATAATTGTCTTAGCATACAGCTGTGGGAACACCTAAAGTGGAAGATGGTTCACCTTCATCTTTATGGCCAGGAATGACAGACTGCTTCTTTCAAACTCAAGTATCATTTTCACTGGACTATATACCCACCTCTCCCAGAACAAACTCCAAGTCGCTGAACTGCCTGTTTTCCCACAGTCTTCCATAATCTTCATGTAAAGTGCATTTTGGGTAACAAGAAAACTGAAATAAAAAAGATTTTAAACCTGTTATAGTTTATTTCAGTTTATCATGGGGGCACGCCAACAGCACCATGGCTAAGGTTGCCACTGGATTTCCACGTTGACGACATCTTAACTACAGTTCCAAAAACAAACTACAGAATGCCCTGATCAATCATATACATCAATGTACCCTCCTGCACGGTACTGACTTTGTGAAGGAGGGAGTGGGTGGGGATCTGTTGTAGGAGGCAGGAAAGATATGCTCCCAAAACCCACAGGCTTCAAAATTTCAGTGCCAGGAGTATCACCTGTTTTCAGAACCTCTTTGCAGGGAAAATAGATAGTGTTAGTGCCAGTAATCAGTGCCAGTAACCACTTTGGTGCAGAACACTTCTGGAAATGTCACGACTTTAAAAATCCCAAGAATGAAGGGTTTTTATAGTAACAAGATGCCGCTCTGCCAACTTGTGCATGCAGATTCCTAGATATACAACATACACATGCTTTTTCTGCCAGGAGGGACCACAATATATCACATACATACTCACACAGAAGAGAGTAACAGTGAGGGAACTGGCTACCTTCTGGGGCTTGCTGGCATGACGGGTAATACCAGGGAACACCAGAAGACAACAGGGAAGCTGGGAGGGCCATGCTCCAGAATGGGGAGGCTTCTCTATAGCCCCCTGCAGCCGTGGTGCTGCCTGCCTGCCTTCCTCCATGCTCCCTGTTGTGGCTTTAGTTTTAACCCTACCATGTAGGTGGCTGTGGGGGGGTCTAGGAGCATGCTCTGTGCAGTTGGCATGTAGGAATTCCATGGGGATGGAGCACGCTCAGCAGCTGAGCCAAAGCATGCATAATACACATGGATGATCAGTGGGGTCAGACTATGCTTAATATAGGTGGAATGGTTTGGAGATTTTAGCAACAAAACTCTAACAAAACTGAGCATGTGAAAATAGTAATCTTTAGAGGCTTATAACCCAGCCAAACCATCCCCCTGCCAAATTTCAAGTGCCTGCTCCAAAGCATGGAGGTGCTAGAGATCCTAGAAGAAATGGTTATAAAAAATGTTTAACATTGAAAAAGTGTTTGAACTGCTTTTGCTGAAACTTTTAAAAAAAATCAGCGTGAGGCAGAGAGTAAGCATAGAAAATTTCAGCCTGAACAGTTAAAGTTTAGGAACAATTAAGCAACTGAAAACAAGGGCTTATAATGGAAAATAGTAGGCATCCTTAACTGTAGGCATTGCTGTCTGCTCCATAACCCCACGAATCAGGTTAACAAATTACCTGGAATCTGTACATTTCTCCACTTCTAATGTTATTGTCCACTGTCCCACCAAAGATGTACATGGCATCTGAGATGACAGCTGCAGCATGGAAGAGTCTCCCACTTGGCAGCTGGGAAAACAAGCACAAAAAAGCTGAGGACTATTTAAGAGGTACCTTTTCAAACAAGAATTTGTCTGGGAAAAAGCAAAAACGAGAAAGGAAAAACAATAGAATGTAAATGAATTAGCAACAAATGGCAGGCTCATCTGACAGATTCTAGGATTGCCTTGTTACTCTACAGCCTCCCTTCCTGTCACTTTTAATGACACCCCTTTTGTTAAACTTTTTAAATTATTAGTATTCTACATATGCAGGGATGTGTGTATTCTGTAGGTAAGAATGTTCTGCAGAATATTCCTGTTGCCAAAGAACTGAGCCTCAGAGCTAAGTTTCATTTTAAAAAACAAAGTACATTTCTATCCCTTATAGATACAGTTAACTCTTCCAAATGTGAACAAAATATGAACTGTTTATTCTGCAAACCGACAGCTTGAAATAAAGGTGTAAATCAGTGGCTCAAACTTTTTTACTGGTGACCCCTTTCACATAGCAAGTCTCTGAGTGCGACCCCCCCTTATAAATTAAAAACACTTTTTTATATATTTAACACCATTATAAATGCTGGAGGCAAAGCGAGGTTTGGGATGGAGGTTGACAGCTCATGACCCCCCATGTAATAACCTTGTGATCCCCTGAGGGGTCCCAACCCCCAGTTTGGTGTAAACTGACCCGTTTATGTCAGTGGGTGTTAACTCTGAACCCCAATTGTGACAATTTAAATGCAAACACTAACTCTCTCAAGTTGGTCATTGTAGCAGAATCATTCCACTAATGTGCCTGATCAAGCGATGCTGGATGCAAAGATGGATACTGTAAATAGGAGACAGTGGAGCAGCTGGTTGCTGTGAAGGAGAGTGATGGGGGAAGAAGCTCACCTTCCCCCTTCTCCAAAATGTCCAAGAGAATGACTGTGTCCAAGATAATGTATCTATCCCTCACTGACTGTTGGTCAAATCACATCCTATAGCTCCTGGGTTTCAACAACATCCGGCTGCCCCCCAAACTTCTATAATTCATAGGCTTTATGGACAGAAGGGATCACTATGGTCATCTTGTGAGTCTGATCTTCTGCAAAAGCTACAGAATTACATCCAGAGATTCCTGAATTAAGCCCAGAACTTCTGGTTGAGCTAAAATGTAGCACTGTGAAACAGACATCCAATTTAAAACTTTGAGTGATGGAGAACTTGCCACATCCCTCGGTAATTTGGTCCAATGATTAATTCCCCTCACTTTTAAACATTTGCTTCTTGTTTCCAGTTTGAATTAATCTAACTTCAACTTTTAGAGACCAGATCTTGTTATGTTTGTTAGATTAAAAAGCCCTCTGCCATCAGAAATCTTCTCATGTAGATACTGACAGACTGTGATCAAGTCACCTCTTAGCCTTCTCTTTGATAAACTTAATAGACTGAATTTCTTAAGTCTCTCACTGTAGGTAGGTTTTCCAAACCTCAAATTAAATTTGTAGCTCTTTTCTCATCGCTTTCCAATTTCTCAACTTCCTTTTTGAAGTGCAGACACCAGAACTGGACACGGTACGCCAGTAATGGCATCATTAATGCTGAGTAAATGAATACCAAAGATAGTTCTACCTCCTCACTCCCGCTCGATATTCCCCTACACATACATCAAAGAACTGAATGAGTCCTTTTGCCACAGCACTGTACTGAGAACTCATGTTCAGCTGGTTATTCACCATGATCCTTAAATCTTTTTAAGAGTAATTGCTTTTGAAGATACTGTCTCTCATCCTATAATTGTGACTTACATTCTTTCTTCCTGGACATACACTCTTGCATTGGGATGAATTAAAAAAGTATGTTGATTGTTTACTGCCTGCTTACCAAGTGTTCCAGATCACTCTGTTTATATGACCTATCCTCAACATTATTTATCACTCCACTAAACACTGTTTTCTGCAAACTTTGCAAGCAGTGATTTTAAATTTTCTTCCAGATCACTGATGAAGATCTATGAAACATACTGATAAAGCTAATTGAATAACACTGGTCCAAGACAAATTCTTGTGGGATCCTATTTGAAACACCCTCAATGAACTGATGAGGATTCTCCATTAACAATTTTGAGAACTATCTACAAACCAGTTTTTAATCCATTTAACATGTTATATTAATTTTACATGGTACTCTTATTTTTCAATCAGTATGCCATGTGGAATTAAGTCAAACATCGTACAGAAGTCCACACACTTACCTTTATCAATCAAACTGTATATGTTATCAAAAGATACCAAGCTTGTTTGATAAGACCCATTTTTCAGGAAACCCTGTTGATTGACACTATTTATGTTCCCATCCTTTACTGACTGACTCCTGTGTCAGCCGTTTCATTATGTTGTCTGGGAGCAAAGTCAGACTAACTAGCATATAGTTACCCAGGTCATCACATTCACTCTTTTCAAATATAGGCACATTAGCTTCCCCCACCCCTCAGTTCTAGAACTTCCCCAGTATTGCAAGATTTATTGCTCAAAGTAAAGACTGATGCAGTAGCAATCTCACTTATAAGTTGTTTTCTCTTAATTCTCTAGTTTAATTCCTTCCTGCATTGCCAGGTAACAAGGCTAATACCTTGAACAATCAATAGCTTTGTATCCATTAGGGGCCAATGCCCAGATCCTCAGCCAATTTACACCAGCTAAGAATGGGACCTCTTTCAATAACTGGGCCTACAAATTTACCTTAATTGTGTGCTCAATTGAGAGAATTGAATGAAAGTTCATAAAATGTTACAGTAGCCTATAACAACAAATGATAATGGGAAAAGGTGCAAAAAAGAGACAGTAAGACAGAATTAGTCCAAACAAAAAGGCCTCCTGATATAATTCAAGGACTGAGTTAAGAACATACCTGGTAAACAAGAGATGTTTGGAACCAAAAATCAATGGACCAAAATTGGTGTGTTGGAAATTAGGCCTAAATGATAAACAAAATAATAAGGGGATGGGCTATTCCACTCATCACTCCCTTTTGAGGTCCTTAAAAGAGACTTTTGGGAGGAAAGGGGGGCTGTCTAACAACAACTGCTGACTGAGAGATGGGAGGATAGGAAAGGTGTGAGTGTCATCATCATGGCTGTCACCCCCACTATTGCCTGGGACCTCAGGTTCCACTGTGACACTGTTGGGACTTCATCATTCTACTTCTGAGAGATGTCCTAACCAGGCCGGGCCAGAAACTGGGAACCAGATGATATCACCACCTCCACCAGCTCCAGTTAAATCCCAAACGCTATTTGGGATGTGCGACCTTCTCAACACCACCTCTTGTGTGTCCTTTTCCTTCCCCACCTTATTTCTTCTCTTCCCTATCCTTGTCCTTTTGCCTTCTGTCTAATGAGGCTGTATACTCTGCAGCACTGCTGTAAGCCTGTGACCAGAAAGAAGCAGATAAGCAATGCCCTAAACAGCCTGATGCTGGTACAAGTTGCCAGGTCTTGGAGTGTCCAATCAGACTGTGTGCTGGACCTCTGTTTCTCCAGCACTGAGGTTGTAAATGTGAGTCAACCCCAGAGATAGAAGCTGCATTTTCTATCTTTCTTGTTATTTTCTCTCCCCTTTTGTATGTTTGTCTTGTTTTGTCTTCAAGGAAAATGGGACCAGACTTTAAAAACAACAACCCCTCCAGCCCATCTCAATTAACTTTTCTCTCCCCCCCCAAAAAAAACATTTATTGTCATCTTGTCCTTCTAAAGACTCTGCAGCTAAAGCGAAAGGGAATAAGGGATATTGATAAAATAAACGGCTTGCTGACATAGCCCTGTTTGTTACAGAATTAAGATAAACGTCACTGAATTAGGTTTAATACCTTTGGGGTACATCGGATTAAAAATGCAATTGTGCTATGTGTTACTGTGAGATTGTATGTAATGCCTCTAGGGGGAGACAGATGCTAACGTAATTCTTCTGGTTATCAACTTTTTGAAGCTACCCTCAGGAGAGGTTTGCATATACTAGTTCAAACTGAATTCTCCTGGGACAAATGGACAAAGAAAGGAATGTGGATCAACAGCCTGATATTAAAGAGGCTCAGAGCATTCTTCCTGATCTAGGAAATGGGCAGGACCTCTGGTCCACACAAAGCCCCAATCCTTAGGGAACGGTTGGAAGGAGTGTTAGGAAAATGTAATGTAAATAGGGTAAAGAGTAAACAATAATAATCTTGCTTCTGGCCTTGCTTTTAATTTAAACAGGCTGAATAAGCAAGCAAAAAAATGTAAGTAAAAGCACAAGGCTGCACCACCACCACCACTACCACCATCTCCTCTCCCCCCCCATGCACCCGCAAGCTAATAGCCTCACCTTTCAGTAACAAAAGAAGATAAGGGGACCAAATCAAGCAATGGGTTGCTATGGTAACCAAGCGGCTGGAAGGTGTAAGAAAAACACAAAGTTTGCAAAAAAGTAACTATGGCCACAAGTAACCCCGCTCCTTACCTCTCCCATTAGGTACAAAAGAGGTGGTCTTAACCCCAAACCCAAGAAGAAGTGGGACCGCTAAACACTGAGGATGGAGTGGAGGTTAAGGATAATCTAGGCATGTCCCAATAGCTAAACAAATACTTTGCCTCAGTATTTAATGAGGCTTATGAGGAGCTTAGGGATAATGGTAGGATGTCAAATGGCAATGAGGATATGGAGGTAAATATTACCACATCCCAGGCAGAAGCCAAACTTGAACAGCTTAATAGGACTAAATTGGGGGGCCCAGATGACTATGAGCTGCCAATGTGATACGGCCATTAAAAAAGCTAATGCGGTCTTGGGATGCATCAGGCAAGGTATTTCTAGTAAAGATAAGGAGGTGTTAGTACCGTTATACAAGGCACTCGTGAGACCTCATCTGGAATACTGTGTGCACTTCTGGTCTCCCATGTTTAAGAAGGATGAATTCAAACTGGAACAGGTACAGAGAAGGACTACTAGGATGATCCGAGGAATGGAAAACCTGTCTTATGAAAGGAGACTCAAAGAGCTTGGCTTGTTT